TTCAAAATATACATTACTATGAGGGTAATTGATGTTTTATTCATAAATTTTTTCTGTTAAATGTAATTTCTTATATTTTTCTTTCTCATGGACAACATCATTTAATATATGTGGGTAAAATTAGAAAAATTTTCAATTTGACACAATTATTTAACGAGTAACTATTATTTTTTTTCCTGATATATTAGTTAAAGTGATTATATTATCGGCTGGACGGAGTATATTAATATGTTAATAATCTATGTTGGCAAGTTGGCCAAAAAAAAAAAATTCTATGTTGGTTATAGATACACTACTTCTGGTCTTTAATACAAGATCTTATTTAACTTTTATTTTGATCATAATATAAGACTTCAATCCACTTTGTCTTTCATATTTATCCATCTTTTTTCAAAATAGTCTTTCTATTAATGGTAGTTCTAACAATAAACTTGATTAGCAAGGATAATTTAGGAACAGACACTTAGTTATTACAAATAATTAAGTTAACTTATTTTCTTAATATACTCAAATTAGTGAACTAGCTTTATATTTATGACCGGAGGTAGTATATACTATCTCTTATTCTTAATATAAGACCTCATTTGATTTTTATTTTGGTCTTAAAATAAAACTCTAGTCTACAATGTCTCTCATATTTATGCATTTTCTTTCTAATAATGATAGTTCTAACAAAATATTTGATTAGTAAAAATATTTTAAAAAAAAATACTTATTTATTATAAATAATTAAATTAATTTATTTTTTTAATCTATTTAAATAATTAACTAACTTTTATATTTAGAATCAGAAATAAAATATATATATTAATAATCGATAAGCGAAATTCATCAAGTGCGGCTTTGAGCCTTTGACGGTTTACCAACAGAGATAAGGACAGTCGGAGTGGTGTCGCTTCGTTAACAAAGGAGTGCGTGGGGCCTCTTTATTTATTATTTTTAATGTAGGCTTCTTGTTGTTTATTACTATGTTGTATCTTCTTTATTTAGAGCGTTCCAAATTCAATTAATAAATTCTGTTAATCTAATATTATAATTAGTTAAATGATGCCGAAAAAAATTATAATTAATTAAATGAAATAGGAAATATACTCCTTTTTTTTTGCTAACAAAATAGGAAACATACTCTGATCTTAAATACATATAAAATTAGTTGAGAAATTTATTTTTTTGTTATGGATATAAAATTTCAATCTTTTCTCCTCTAACATTTTATCAACCAAAGTGGTTTCTTCTTGTTTTTCAGTTATTTATTTATTTATGTTCTTCCTTCCTTCCTTTTGCATGTACTGTGAACTTTGAAGTTCTCTACTTCTGCATGACGACAACAAAATCTGGAAAATTGTTTTGTTGCTGGTTCTTCGAAAATTAATTACCTCCTACTGCCATTTTCACATTCTGTAGTTTCTGATTTTTTTTTTGGGTGATTTGTTTGCTAGTTTAGTGCTGTAGCTTTTGTGATTTCTTCAGAAAAATGGTTTCAAGATCTTACTCAAATCTTTTGGACCTAGTTTGACTTCTGAGGTTGATGACTCCTCAATATTCACCATGAACGGATCATATGTAAAGCAGCCTTCAATTAGAGTTCAGAGAAAGCCAGTGGTAGTACTGGTAAAAGGGAATTGGCTGTTCCTGTGGGATGATAATTCATTTCTTGAATTGAAACATGGATTAGGCGATGATGATATTGAAGTTATTTCACCCAACTTGTGCCACACCTTACCGTCCTAATAATCATTCAAATATATATTAAATTAAAAATCCTATCTATATTGATTTTTTTTAAAAAAATATTTCAATATATTTAGAGACATAATAGAAATTCAAACAAGGACTTGTAACTAGGATGGAGAAAATACTACTCTGGTTGTTATTATAGGGTGTCTTTCAAAGCACATTTTGATCCCTTTTTATAAGATATTTGATAGTTTAAGTTCAAAGATAAGCAAATATTTTTTCCTTATATTCCCATATTTAGCAAGTATAGTGAGAGAACAGAAATAAATGTAAAGTTAGAGTTTAGTATAGTTAATATGGATAGTATTAAAAATTGCTTAGATTTTAGGACAAATTTAATATTTTTAGCTATTTTTCTTGGCATCTATGAGCTAGTTAGAACTATCTTATATTTGGCACTAGGGTGACATATATCCTTTTCTAGATATCAGCGATGCTTTTAAAATTTATTGAAAATGTTTAGCATTGTTGGGACTTGGGAAAAAAATTGAAAATGTTTACTATTACTCCTCCAGTCCTTAATATAAAACTTATTTAACTAATTTGATTAGATTAAAGAAGTTAGGTAATTTAGTTAATTATAAAAAATATGACATGTTTTTTCTAAAACACCATAATCATCTTTCTTAATATCCTTCATCTCTTACTTACTTATAGTTAAAAGAGTCTCCATAAGAATAATTTAGAAAAAATTGATAAATATGATAAATATATCTTATATTTAGGACTAAAATTAACTTAACAATTAGGTCCTATATTAAAGATCAGAGGAGTACTAAACAAATTAATGTCTTTTTACTTGAATCCTGTTTTGTAACAGTTGTTGTGTTATACAATTAAATAATCAGGTATATTACACATTGAGGGGGAAAAAAACCTTATGATTACTTTATTACTGGTATCAAATTTTGACAAATGTGTAACTCTAAAGAAACACAAAGTGTCAATCAGTGAAATGTACAAATGTGCCCCCTCATAAAAGCCCATGGGAGAATAAAAACTTCATACAATATATGTGAATGCATGTATTTAAAATCTCTACTTTTGCAGATGCTTCATTTTTATATATCTTGCGGATTTGCCTCAAGTATTTTGGGTAATTTATCTCGGCTGAATTGTGATAGTTCGATCCCCATTTTTTTCAAATTAAAAGAGATTACACCACTGCATTACTATATTTTCTTCAACTAATGCAAAAGAAAATAGAGGATTTGTATACAATTAGGAGGATGGTTATATAATATTTATATTATGTGGTTGATATTTCACCTTTCCACTAAAATCCTTCATAAACCTTTTATAAAACCCGATATCTTCTAAAAAAGAATCTGAATTCTTTCAAGGTAAAAGAATATGGTAATGATGAAATAATCTTAATATTTGTCTTATCGGCCTCAATACTTTTCCTATACACCAAATGCCCTAAAACAATACTTTTATGTACTATAAAATGACAAATTTCAAAGTTAAGTATAAGGTTATTCTCAATATACTTTACTAGGACTTTATCTAAGCTCTCTGTTTGCGCAACAAAATTGTTGTCGTATATCGTCAAGTCATTCATGAAAACCTTCATATTGCTTCCTAAGAACTCATTGAAAATTATCATCACTGCCCTTTGAAGGATGCCAGGGCACTGCACAAGACAAATGACACTTGCCTATAAGCGGAAGTATCAAATCAATAAACAATGGTCTGTTTTTTATTTTGTTAATCTTGAATATATGGGTCTTGTGCTCGCTTAATTGTTAGCGATATCTTTACTATTTTGTTGTCACAAATCAACCACATTTTAGGAAGGTGTTGAGCAGATGAATAGAAGAAAGATACATTTCATTCATTTTTTAAAAAATATTATATTAATAAAAAATGTTAAAAACAGTCTGTGAGGAAACAAGCTACATTTGCTGGGACAAATAATAGAAAAAGCAAAGTAATCAACATTTTTGCCTTTACAAAAAAGAGTAAGAAGAGAAATTAAAGTATTTAGTGTCTTATTCATCCTCATCTAGCTATCTATCATTATAGAGTATTTGATCATTTGATTCTATTGACTAATTCAGATTCACACTAGATCAACTTTCCATTAAAGAAAAGCTCTTCCTATTCCCAATTTTTTTGATTAAAAAAATTATAATGTATATTGTACACTATTATAAGTTTAAGTTTTTTATGTATTTTTTTATATTTATTATAAATATTTTGTAAGAAATAATTTGATAATAAAAAATTAATTGAATAAAAAATTTTATATAATAATATAGGTATTTTGAAAATCTTGACTATAGAAGCTGCACGACACACATATGTATCGCGATAATTCTTTAAGAAAAAAAGAATTATAAAAAATATATGAAAAGCTAAGTGTTTCAACGCCATTTTACACGTAAATACATACTAATAATTTGAATAAGGATCTAATAGATATCCAAATTTTGCATGGAATAAGTTAATATATACATAGAAGCTATAAATTCAACCAAAAAAAAATGTTGATTTGACAAACTCAAACTATATATTAATACAAATTGGGGAAAAAAAAAAAGAGAAAGCAGTTTTAAATTCATGTAACCATTCAACGTTTAAATAGTCTTCTAATAATTTAATAAGAAAATAGCCTAAAACATATATATATAAATTAAACATCGCTTTCTTTTCATACTAAAGAGTTTACATGAACTTTAATCTGCTACAAAAACATGCCTATTTTATTTCTGTTTTTTCAATGTTGAATCAGCTCCAGGTATACTAAAATGTGAAGCCGTTAACACATAATATTCTATATATTTAATGAATTTAAAGGTAAATATAGGTAATTATATTAATTATTTACTTACAAATTGTGAAAAGATAGACCGTGTTATATATGAGCCTGTGTAATGTATGAGCCCAATCATCTAGCTTCTCCTGAATTAAAAAAAAAAAAATTTTCCCTTCGTGCTACCAAAGAGATATGTGATGGACAGAGGGAAAAACAAGAAGCTCAATCAAAAACTATTTAGTTCATTAACAGTTGGCCGCAAAAAAGGTTCATTAACGAAGAAAGACTCTTGTTCCAACACAAGCCACTCCAGTTGAAAGGCAAATCCAGAAATTCTGGACCAGTCAAATAAAAGTCCTTAATGTATAAAAATTCAAACCCCAGAAACCACCATCATCAAGCGAGTTTGCCTCACACAGCAAGATGCAATGGGGGAATGCATTGCAAAAATTTTGACCCTATGCAAAAAATTGATAATTAGAATACTCTGAAAAAACATAATAAAAAGAAATGATCAAAACCTTTTTCAAGCACCCAAGTCCGTTGCATAAAATAACGCTCATAGTAAAAAGTCAAAATTTGTCATGACAACTGCAAAACAGCTCATATATCAGCTTGTAATATTAACAAGACGTACAAGTAATGCTAAGTCTCGACGCATCCACATTATCCATATTTTGTTGCATATTAAAATGTATCTGTCACTGAGATGAACAACTAAATACCAGGACCAAGAAATGCCCTCATCAAAAATCCACGTTCAATTGCCACGGTTAATCAATAGGAACCTCAACTTCCATTTTCAAACCTGAGTTGCCAAGAATCTGAAGGAAAAAAGCATGGATGTCGATCAGTAATGCATTTTTCAAATAAAAGATGGCAATGACGCAGTGAAAAGTAACAAATATCAAGAACAAAAGACCCCCTTTATCAGAAAGTGCACAAGCTTAGTCCAACACGGTTATAACACCAGACTCTAGAACAGTGCTCATTGAAATAAATAAAACAGCAACAATAAACAAGCATTCATGACTATACAAGTGTGACCAGAAGACCATCATGATCGGAATAATATCATACCCATTGACTTGATAAAAAACAATTTTTATGATTATTATAACATTGGCTTCGGGCAAAAAAAAGAGTAGATGGAATTGACAGTAAAAGTAGGTCACTGTTGCCTTCAACTTCAAGCCACTGCAACCAAGTATATAGGTGCCATCATCAAGACAAATGAACATACTAATTAAATGATGATCATGAGAAATCATCAAGAATAGAACTTCAACCTCATTTTTATTTAATCTTCGACAAGAAAGAGCATGGTAGCTTGCAGAAAAACAAGAAAATAATTGAATGAAAGATTAGAGAAGAGAAGCTCACTAGATCAAAGATTAAAATACCAAAAGTCATATATAAATTTCTGAAACTAGAAAAACAAGAAAACAAAAGCAAATCAACTGTCTCTGCCTAGCCTATTAAAGTGCTGATCAATTATAACTCACAACAAAGGTAGTGAAAATTTTCATCACTGCAACTCATGTTATTTTTCAGATGTTTTGATACCTTCATGAAGTCAGCCAAGACCAACAATGAATCCTTTTTATAGCCTGCTTCCTCGAGGACTTGTGCTAGAACTTGCTGTATCAGGTACAATGGAAACATAATACAGAATAGGCTGTTAGCAGCAATTACGGAAATTAACAGGACCTATTTCATTTCTTTAGAAACATGCAATATTTTCTATCTCTTTCTTAAAAGACTATACTTGTTATAAGTACAAGTTCAAAGCGTGTGCCCATCTAGCCCGTTGGGAGGGAGAGTCCCACGAACTGATAAACCTCACTTTTCTTATAAGGCTTTCCCATGGTGTACCAATGTTGTGTGCATAAATCCAAACAAAGAGCTCATCTCAAAAAACTAGCTTATTAGAAAGGAGAGATCTATGAATTTGTACGCCCACTTCTCCCGTGAGGCTCCTAATACGGGACTAACATATACACAGTCATTTACTGTGGAGGATCTGGACTCATGCAGATAGCTGAATCACTTTACATGAAAATTTTATTTGGTTAGAAATGCATTTACTTTTCATCATGTTAAAGGACACAAACATGTTACATGCAAGTTATGAAATACTCCTTCTCTTTCATTAGAATAAAGAAGATTAAAAAGCTCTTTTGCTCTTATTAATTAAATGTAAAAGTTATGAGTAAAAAACCTTAGATGTAAAAGTTGAGAGCCTCGGAAAGGTGACCTTCTTTCGTCCAAAGTTTCACCACATCTCTTCAAGTTTCTTGTGTCTGTTGCTTACAGTTTCAGCTTTAGATAGAAATATCTGTCCGTATTTTGATCCCTACCATTCAGATGATGATTTATCAAGCTGTTCCCTTAAATAACAAATTTCAAGTGAACCGTTGCCCTTTTCGTTCTATTGGATAAATTATAAGCCCATGAACCATGCATAAACAAATAAAGTATCCATATTTCTGAGATTAAGAATTACGAACTAGATACAAAAGGTCTATTTCCTTCTTACATTAGAAAACCATACGAAGCAGAGGAGGAAAACAGAATTTTGTTTAGTGGGAGACTCCCAGTAATATCTCACCTCTCTCTGGTGTTCAGATATAAACTGTCCTGTCAAATCTCGTAGAACGTCCAACATGTCATTGAAGCTCACTTTTCCATTGCAGTCTGTGTCATATACCTTGAAAATAACTACAAAACGAACAGCATCCACAAAAAAGATTTCAGCAGTCAGCAAATTAATTTGGGGAAAAAGAATTACACATCGGGCAACCGAGAAAGATTCACTACATTCAATTTTATGCTGTAAACTCGCACGAGGACTAAACGCAGATAAGAACGCTACAAATTCTTTGAAGTTCAAACCATCCAACAGCCTCAACAATCTCTGCCACATCACAAGATCAATGAGTTACCAGAATGCACGGAAGGAAAAAATCAATACACGCACAGGAAAACTAACCACTCGCTTCTCATAACATGAGAAAGGAAAATACAGATAGAGAAAAACCTGAGAGAGAGGATTGACGGCGAATTCGGGTAGGGACAAAAATTCATCAGCTGTAATAAAACCGGAGCTATTACGATCTAGCTGACAGAATCTCTCGTACAGGGAAACGATCTCCTGCTGTGTAACTAGAAAAAAGAAGAAGAAGGGGAAATTGAAACGAATTAAAAGCCCAGAAAGTGAAAGAAATGAGTGAAACTCAAAGGAATCGTCGATTGAAGGGAATGCGGGATTACAAGTGTAGTTACAGTGTTGCTGGACCTCCTCGATGTCGTATTGCGTGAGCATAGAGGAAGTGTTGCCCATGGTGGTGAAGATCAGAGATCAATGGAACGTAGGAAGGATCCTAACTACGTTTCGTGGGGCAAAGGGGAAAGCTGCGAGTCAAAGAGAGTCAGTCAGCTGAATTGCTGAAAGAGAGAGGCTAAAGAACTGCAGAGGCACGCACGGGCACGGTGGCAATCAACGAAATTCGCAGCAGGGACTTTTTTTTTTTTGGGGAAATAAATTAAAATTTGTTAAAACGCGAAAAATAAAAGAAATAAATAAAAACAACTTCAAATATCCATGTACACATCATACGAGGATTGAAACTAATAATCTCATATTTTAAAAAACCTTAATGAAAAATGGCTGCTTTCTTAGTTTTTGTGTTAGAAGTGGAGTTTTTATATAGTAATTTTTTGTGTGACATATTACTTTGCTACTAAATATAAAAGCTCCGCTACTAAAAATAAGAACTAATTAGAAATTTAATATAATCATAGATATAAAATTTCAATTTACTTGAAGTAATCTATACGATAATTGCATAGTTTTATCAAAAGATAATTTAAATGTATATGATTAATAAATGTATTCTAATTAAATAATTTTTTTAATATTTATAAAGCAGTTATTTGTTTTATATACTAAGCTACCGAATATAAATTTCAATATTTGCAGGAAATGCGTCCCCGCAAGTCCACAGCCAAACAGGCAAACAATTCAGCTGGTGAAAAACCAGTCGAGAGCAGTGACTGGTTACACACCTAACTGGAATCTGACTGTGCCAAATTCAAAGCATTAAATAAAATGGCTATGCTTTCACTGTTTCCATTGTTATTTGGTATTTTATTTTTCAAGCATGTCTCTTTCGAATTCTTTTTCTTCCATTCTTCTGTGGATTGCAGAATCAGCTCGTCACCAAAGAAACAGAGGCCCCAGAAGCGGAGAAGATGGTATTCCTGTTACTTTTCTCTTTTACTTTCCTTGGAATTACTACAGTTCTTAAGCCAGACGACGATGTTGGAGGAGGCTGCTATGGCTATATCTATCAAATCCATGACTTAGGTGCATTTGACAATACTTGAACCATTTGTTGGGAAAAATGCACGAGGTTTTCTGAAAGTGGAAATTGATTTTAGTCGTCCAAATATATTAAAGCTCGGATTATCTGGAAGGTAGAGGTTTATTATTGGTAGGAAGGCATTGTTGTTGGAATGAAACTACGGAAACTTGTAATGAAAATGTGAAATATGACCTCAATTGACATTTAGGAATTCAGATGCATTTTGTATGATAGCAATGGAAGTGTATATATAGAAGGAAACTGATTACAATAATTATGGACGTTGAAGATTTGTGTGAAAAACGTACTTCTTTTTCACAGTAGTCGCTCGGGAAATGAGAAGAATAAAAATTTTAGGAAAGGAACAAGTTTTGCGATTTTTTCAGAGCAGAAGGAGGAAAGGATTAGATGTGGCTATGTTAATATCTTTTCACCAAAGCAACAGGGTGTAGCTTTGAGGGGTGTTTTAGAATTTATAGCTGTACTGGGTATGAATGGCTTTCATTTTCCTAACTTGAGTCAGACGTCATGAATATGCTACACCTTGCTGATATTTTGTCTTTATATCATGACTATCTTAATATATCAATTTCGTGAGCAATTTATGGAGGTATCATGCCATGTTACATTCTAAGGCTGCAATATTCTGAGCTAAGGATAAGCATTAATTATATACCTTTTGTTATGCTTATCAAAACATTTTGAGTGATTTATACTGTGATTATGTGATTGCGTGAGAGGATATGTACATTCGTGTTAAGCGCAGCAAGTCAACATACTTTATCCGGTGCAAGCCATCTGATAAGATAATTGACCTAAAGCAGAAGTTGCAGGAGATCATTGATCAACCTGTCAATGATCAGCGATTTGTTCTACCAGGTACAGGGGAAATATTAGAGCACACAAAGACACTTGCAGATCAGAAGGTAGTATTGCATCATCAATTTGTGATTTCTGTTCTGTATGTTTCTTGAAAATACTAGCATTGAGGACATGGAAATGTCGAACTCTATCTGGTACTTTTCATTGAAACTATTTTTATTGATTCAGCACTATAAATTTAACATCTTCATTACATGAATTACACTATTGTATCATACTTGTTGGCACTTTCCCATATAGATGTCATTCAGGTCGATAGTGATGCTGTGGTGGCGCTGACACTTAGAAAAGTCGTGTATTCTATTTGTTTTCTTCCTGTATTCTCCTACTCAAACAAAAGCTGTATGTATTTCGTTTGTTAAAAGCCCTGTTGAGAAACTGAAGTTAACTAATGGGCGAGTGCTATTAACCTATGAAATGAGAATGAAGCGAGAAGGGTGTGTAATAGGGCCTGAAGCTGCGTTATCTGCCTGATGAGATGGCCATAGAGGAAGAAGAGGTGGCCATGGAAGATGGTCGTAGTGCTTGCAACTAACTGTCTCTTTGGATTAGAGGTGGAGAGCAGGTTGTTGATCTGAAATATGCAAGTCTGGAATATACAAGGTTGTGGATTAGAAACTAGGTAAAGAAAAATAGGAGAATTACAGTGAGGTCCCAAGTAAGAAAAATAATTACAAAACAAATTCTAAATGTTGTCATTAAAAGCTACTTAAATTGTTATTGTGACTTTTTAGTAATTATTTTTCTTACTTGGGACCTTATTGTAATTCTTTCAAGAAACATTTGGCTGCTTTTGGAAAAGTCTCTGGCCACTTGAATGCTAGGGGAAGTTTTTTTCCTTCTTCATTTTCATTTCTTTGTTAAACCCCAAAATACGTTAATTCCCCTCCTTGTCTACTGAAGCCAGCATGTTTGTTGTTTTGCCTTTTTCCAGCACTGACTGCCACAAAGATGAAAATGATGCTTTTCCAATCTAAATAATGTTTTGGCCACACAAAAAGAAAAAGAAAAAAAATCTAAATAATGTTCACATTCTGTTCCTGACTGAGTTTAATTACATGCATGATCTTTTTATACAATTGCACTTTTCAACCGTTGTCTAAGTACTAATTGACATTTTCAGGGAAATTTTCTGAATTGGTTCTTTACTCCTTTGATGATAGCTTCTCCCATCACCTGTGCTCACGCATTCATATTCAACTCAGCTGAGATTCACATTTATAGTTTTTAAATGAACTTCACAAGCAAGCAGCAGGCGTTAACATAAAGATTTTCTACTCTACTCTCTTTATGTTGGACGGGAAGTGTTATGAAGTTTAACTTCATTATATTTGTCAGAATATAACATTCAACTTTTTATATGTTCAAAAGCCTCAGGAATTCTTCTTTTTGCTTTTCTAGAACAATATAACGAAAAATTATTCCATCTGTCATTCTGCTGTTATGAGATGTTAATGAGTTTGAGGAGGTCAACATTGTTAGGCCAAACGATTTCTACCAGTCCCGGGATGCAGATGATGCCAATTGGTGAAAACTGAAAAGCCATATTGCAACTAAGGCCTGCTCATGCCAGTTGGTATCATTGGGTTCATTTTCTGCTGTGCAAAGCAGTGGACCAAGTTTAGAAAAGTTTAAAGTTTTGTATGAGTGTTTGTAAAAGGCTGACAATTATTATCTGAGTAAAGACTCTGGACTCGGGGCCTTGATTATATCAGGGATTGTCCTTTTGCCAAATCTCAGTCCAAAGAATTTATAATGCTTGCTCAATTTCTCTTTGTCTATTATGACTTGATTACAAGAGGAATACTCCCTTTGTCCCCTGTTGTCCCCTGTTGTCCCCTGTTATAGGATCTAAATTTTTAAAACCCTCCGCCCCTTTTTATTAAATCTATTTTGGAGTACCTGAATATTAAATACATTTTTATCAATTTTATTTCCTAATTAATTTCCTCCTTAAATTCTCCATTTCTTTTTTCTTTTTTACTCCGTTTTATTTACTCATGTATAAATATGGACATATTTAGGGAAAAAAATACATTTCTGATATGTTTATTACTTTTAAATAATTTTATTATTTAACATTTTTCTTAAACCGCACAATTTTATCGATTACATTCTATTATTTATTTGGGAGAATCTCATTTAAATCCAATTAAAAGATTAAAATTTAAAATCAAGCCTTCGTTTTAAATAAATTCCTAATTAGACCAAGAGGCCTAGTTAGATCTTTATGAATATTATTAAAAGATTAAAATGTCCCTTTATAATTAAAATATGAGCTGTTTTTTTATATTTTACTCCCTTACAAGTTCTTCTCTTAAAATATGAAAATAATAAACTATAACACTATCCTCAATCCAAAATTTATAAAAAGTTCATTATCAGAATAAGTTTTCCACTCTTAAAATATACTTGTGTTCTATTAAAAATAATGTACGTGTATAACTAAAAACATGTATGTTTATGCATATATTATTAAGTGGATCAATATTAAAACTAAAAAAAATTAAACCCATCCAAAATTAAAATCTATCAGTGACCTACAGTATTAAATTGATGATAGTGTTGGAGTAATTATTAATGTGAATCAAAGACTATGTTGTGATTTTCTGTCATCTACTTAGGATTTACTGTTTTCAAATTTCAAGAAAATACAGCAAAAAAATTTGTAAGGAAAAAAAATATAAAGGTAACAACTGGTACCATAATCATAGAGGGATATTCTAGACTTTTAACAATATTTATAAATCTATAATTAGGCCTCTTGGCCTGATTAAGGATTTATTCAAAATGTAGGTCTAACTTTAAATTTTAGTAGTTTAATTGGATTTAAATAGGATTCTCCCTATTTATTATAGCATTACATGAATAGAATGCTTTGCTTGATTTATCTCCTCTTAAATCTTAATAGAATACAATTAAATAATTGCTTGATTTGAACTAAGAATTTCTCCGCACAATACCATTTCTACGAACAGTTATATGGATGACAACTAAGCTTTAAATTTAATCAAGTAGTTCGAGATTTTTAGTTAAACACTCGCAATATATAAAAGATTAATAAATCGAACAATATAGGTAAAATAAACTGATTAAGAGTATATTTGTAATCATGAGGAAGCTCAGTTTTAGTTAAAACTGGAGACATTAATCTATAATTGTGCTATATATATATATATATATTAATTAATGAACAAATTTATCTTGCCTCCATTTCTTGGCCATGAGATGACCTTGAGATGATCTTAACCAATTACTTAGAGGGAGTTTGATATACTAAAAAAAACACTTAAAAAAGTATTTTTATATAAGTTGAGACAAAATTCTTCTAACATATCTATCTCGTACTTCATAAAAATCATTTCTAAAATGCTACTCATGGATATTTGTTTCAGGTGACATAAAAGGGTTTCAAAGTGTTATAATTTTTGATTCAATTCTCACATCCTCCTTATCTTCTCCGAATCTTCCAAGTTCCATTAATTAATTGAATTGATCCATCAATTTGTACTTCGTATTTTGGCATCCACAACTTCAGACAGGACCTGAAACCATGGACATTGTTTCAGGTGATATAAACTTAATTGTTGTATGATTTTGTAGACATAAAAGATATCAGATTTGACAACCATAAAATAATACAAGAGAGAAACATCTAATTTTGTACAAATAATAATAATGAGAATCATCTTGGTTAATTTCAAGCCAAAGGGCATCCAAAGCAAAGCCAATGAATCATCCTAGGTTCAAGACAAAACAATAAAGGTGACAATCATGAACAATATATATATATATATATATATATATATTCAAGAAACTGGCATGTTGGAGCAATAATAAGGAACTTTTCTACTATTTAAAACTTCGTTAAATTCTAAATTCAAGTCTTACGTACGAAAGTTATCAAAGTTATGTCACAAACGGATAGTGTGTGCATGTGGGATCATCATTGAGGGAAACAACATCAACTTGATTATTAAAATCTTTTGAATTTTTAAATAGTTGTAAAAGATTGCGTTTGATTCTGGGCATATGATGAACACCTTCTTCATAAGCTTTACCAATTATTATAATATTCATCATGCATGTGTATTTAGGTTGAGAAAATTCGTTTTTTTCTTTCTTTAGAACTTAGATTTCTTCTCTCTCAATGACAATATAGGGTAAAATGTGACGAATGGGTATATGAATCTCTTTTTTTGGGTAATAGGATATATGAATCTTTAGATTAACTTATTTTTAAGTTATTTTATTTATGTATGAGAGTATGAGACGAATATATATAAAAATAAATTGTCTCATAATATTCATCATACAAGAATTAGTTTAGTTGGTAAGGAGTCGGCTTATAGCCTATAAGGTCATGAGTTTGAATCTTACTGTCAATGTGAAAACTTTGTTGGTAGGCGATCTGTAAGTACTTTTTGAATATGAAGGGATGTACTGACCTTGGTGAGTCCCTAGGTCGTTTATAAATAATGAATTCAAATTTCATTTTAAACATTTTTAAGGGATAAATTTATAAATATCTTTATGATTCATTATTTTATCTCCTCAGGCTTTTAATTTTCTATCCATCAAAAAATTGAGACAGAATTAAGAAGATTTAACCAAATCTTAAAAAAGGAGTATGCAAATGCAAACACATGTTGAGTATTCATTATCCATTTTTATTTTTGAAAATTATTTTAAATTTAATGAAATCCTCTTGTGGCATGGTTTTTAATTCCCACTTAATCCATCTAGCACATGTTATGCATGATATGGTTATCATTATTATTATATGTGAGGTTTGATTGAATCTTTTGAGTTGAAAATAAATGTATTGAAATATTTGTACTAAATAAACTAAACAGATTGAGATATTGGAAGAAATCAAAATATAGTATGTATTGTATTCATAAAATATAACTAATATAAATAGTATGACTAAAACTTAGTAAACATAAATGACATTTTAACAATCATCTTGGGGCAATAAAAGTGTGGCAGATATGTATAAGGCAAGTGAATCAAAATATATTTATAATTTTCTAGAAATTATTTTCTCACAAAAATTTTAATGAAACCCATCTCCCACTATCGTTGCCTTCATATCAAATTTTCTTATCTTTATTTTTAACTTTGACTGCTATTTGTTATTAATTAAGTTAAATTATATATATAAGGATAATTAATTGCTTTTCGGAAAACGTTGAGAGAGAAGAAAATATTTTAATTAAATAATTCATATGTGGAGCTTTTCGGCTAAAAGCATATGATCAAGCCTGTAAAGTTTATGGAAGCTGCAAAACAGTGAAATGAATGAATGGTAATAATCATTCTCCAATCCACAAATGTCTTCTTTTTCCCTCTTTTATTCTTTTCTCTTTAATTACTTATCGATCATTCAAAGTAAACTTCAGCATTTCGCCAACCCAAAAGTTTCCCATTATTTTTCTAGAATTAGATGAGCTACCTCTATTATACGAAATTTTTAAAATAATAATAATAATAATAATAATAATATATTATTATTATTATTATTATTATTATTATTATTATTATTATTATTATTATTATTATTATTATGATGCATGTAATCCAGAAATAATAATATTTGTTATAAGTTTTAAGGATGATTTCAATTAAATCCAGCTAAAATACAAAACCTCAGATTTAGGCCTATATTTTCAACAAAATTCTAATCAAGCTCAGATGACTAATTAGAGATTTTTGAATCTTGTAAATTTATCTGAATGTCCTTGAATGTTTACTACTAACCCTTCCTCTCTTCTCAATTGGGAATCTCTCTCCTCCCATCCTTCTCACTCACCCCAATCATCATTGCTCCTTTGTTTATATAATTAATCGTTACTCAGAGAATGATGAGTTCATATAACAAAAACCTAAAAGCTTAACTAAAATGGAAAAAAAAATTAATGTGAATTGCTAACTGCGGTCAAATTCACCATCTCAGGAAAGCCAATGCCGATCAGTTCTAATGATTTCAAATTTTTGAGTCACCATGAGGCTCCATCCACGACAGTTCTTAATATTGGTGAAAGTGTAGGCCTAATAAATATGAATTTTAGCATTTTTGCAAGATTTAATTGGGATTCTCCCTAAATTCTACGCATAGAACTATATAACTTACAACATGAATGGCTTTTCGAGAGTTTTCTATAATTAATACATATAAGCTCCAGATGTTATACACACACAGATATATATATATATATATGTATATATATTCTAAAATTACTACAAGCTATTAACTGACATGATAAGTAGTTTCATTTCTATAAAAAGAAGAACATAAGTTTAAATTTCAAAACATGTACTTGTTAGAGGGATTTGACAGTAACACTCTTAGTTTAACAGAGATTAGTTTAAAATCTAAAGTGACATAAAGATACTCTAAATTATACCAAAAGAATTATAAAGATGCATTCTTTTATTGTAACTCTTAATACAAAATTTAGGAACTTGTTACTTGCAAATAATAGGCATATACTAAATGATTGTAAGTTTGAGGTGCAAGAGACTCACTCCATATTTATCCTTTAATTTTCTCTTATCTTCTTCATTCCTTCATCTCAACCTCTTGTATTTCTTGCATAGTAATTAATTATTCAACTCCTATATTTCCTATATTTAGGACTTGGAAAATATATTTACTAATTTAATTTGTACCGTTTTGTGTTAGGGTAATAAGAATGATATGTTGCATGTCTAATTTCCAAATACTTCCTTTTTTGCCTGAATTCTAAATACTAGCTTCGTT